GCAGGCGGGGGAGGGGGGGCGGGGGGGGGGGGGGGTACAAACGTCCACAGGAAGTTCAACAGTTTGCTGTTTGTGTAAATGATGTTTTGTTTTTCTGAATCTTTGACGTCAGCTTCAAAAAACAGCCGCTGCTGCTCATCTCACTGGACGGACTCCGAGCCGAGTACACCAGGACCTGGAGTTACCTGATCCCTGTCCTGGAGAAACTCAGTGAGTCCACAACTGTCTGACACCAAAGTCCATGGAGAAAATCAGAGATTTTAGTTCAGAGCCTGGGTCTCCTCAGGTCAGGTCTACCAGCTGCCCAACCCAACTAGAGCAGGTACAGTCAGTTCTTTGGTCTGTGGATGTTGGTCCTGGTCCAGGCTGATCTGTTTTTCCTCCTGATGAAGAAGCTGGATCGTTGCTAATGAGTCCTAATAAAATCAGGTTCAGTTCTTCGTAGGACTTGATCCCATGTTCTCCTGTTCATTTGAATCTTTCCAGGAAGATGTGGAACGTCAGCTCCGTACATGCAGTCAGCTTTTCCCAGCAAGACCTTTCCAAACCACTACACTATCGTAACGGTAAAGACCTCATGATTGTAGAGGTTGTTGTCGTTCAGCTGCTTGGCTAACGTTAGCTTTGATTTCAAACTGCTTCACTTTGGTTTAACGCTGTTTTAAAAGTACTTTTTTAAGAGATGCTGAGTGTTCTTAGACAAACAGTACAGACATAACTGACACGGGTCTCACACCTCTGTCCTCAGGGTCTCTATCCAGAGTCCAATGGTCTGATTGACAACGTCATGTACGACCCAGTGTTGGACGCCTCCTTCAGCCTGTCCAGTCCAGAAAAAGACAATCCTGCCTGGTACCTGGGACAACCTGTGAGTCTGTCCTTCAAAGTTTGACTATTTGATTTGGTCTGTGGTGTTTGACCAGTAGGGTCGTGCTCCAATCCCTGCTGCTGCTGCTGTTGTTGTTGTCTCTCAGGTCTGGCTCACAGCTCAGTACCAGGGTCTGAAATCTGGGACCTTTTTCTGGCCTGGCTCAGACGTGAAGGTCAACGGCAGTTTCCCAAACATCTACAAACCCTACAACGGGTAAGAACAAAACACGAGCTCAGCTCTGGTTCTGACCCGTGGTTCTGACCCGTGGTTCTGACCCGTGGTTCTGACCTGCAGAAAGACTCCGTTCGAGGAGCGGGTGTTCACGGTGCTTCAGTGGCTGCAGCTCCCTGAGGAGGACAGGTCAGATGAGACAAACTGATCCTGGGTTTTTGGTTTGAATGTTCTGCTTCTGTTCTAACCTTTGACCTGACCCCCCCCCCCCCCCCACCCCCTACCCCCCGTCCCCCGTCCCTCCTAAGGCCTGATTTCTACACCCTGTATCTGGAGGAACCTGATAAATCTGGACACAGCTTCGGTCCAGTCAGTGGAGGAGTGAGTTCACTTTAATCCCAGTTCAGATTAGGCCTGTATTCTGTCTGTCTGCCTGAGGGGGGCACTCTTTTGTTCCTCTTCCAGTTGATTGCAGCCCTCCAGGGAGTGGACAGGGTCATGGGTCAGCTGATGGACGGACTCCGACAGATCGGACTTCACCGCTGCCTGAACATCATCGTCGTGGCCGATCACGGTAACACCTGTCTCCTGCCGGGGGGGGGATCTGCCCCCTGCAGGTCGATCGTGATTGGCGGCTGACTGCTCTGTTTCAGGTATGGAGGAAACCAGCTGCGACAGGAAGGAAGTGATGCAGGACCTGGTGGGAGACGTCAGGAGCTACTGGGTCAACGAGGGTCCGTTTGGACGAATCCGAGCCCGGAACAAAGACACCATCAGTGAGTGAAGCCCAACAGAAGCCTGGGTTTGGTCAACCTCAGAACCATGACTTCCTGTTCTCCTCCCCCACAGTCGACTCGCTCGGACTGGTGGCTAACATGACGGTAGGTGTCCGACCTGCCACAGGGTTCAGGTGCCGTGTGTTCCTGTGGAGGAGGAGTCCAGCCTGTAGGTGGTGCTGATTCTGCCTGATGTTTCAGTGTAAGAAAGCGGAGCAGAAGATCAAACCGTACCTGAAGAAGCACCTGCCCAAACGGCTGCACTACGCCAACAGCCGTCGCATCGAGGACGTCAACGTCCTGGTGGAACCAAAATGGCTGTTTGAGAGGTGGGGGTGTCTTCAGGACAGGGGGCAGTTGAAACTTTAGCTCCCCCTGTGGTGCAGAAATGACATTTTTTGCTGCAATAACAGGAAAAAAAATGAGCAATGTTCTTTAAAAGATGATAATGTACCTGTACAATAAAGCTGTGGTCTGTGGACCGGTCTGTGGACCGGTCTGTTGTTGGTTCAGATATCCTGGTTCTCTCACCTTCTGCTCTGGAGGAAACCATGGCTACGACAACGACGCAGCTAGCATGCATGTGAGTAAAAACACACAAACTTTCCTTTTGCTTTCATTGTTACACGTTCTAGCTACGTTAGCTACGTTAGCTACGTTAGCTACTTTGTCTCTGTATTTTTGACAGATTTTCTCACTGCCTGTTCTCTGTCTGTCTGTCCGACGCTCCTCAGATTATCGTCAGATTATCGTCAGATTATCGTCAGATTATCATCAGATTATCGTCAGATTATCTCTACTACGTTCTTCAAACGACTTTGTCTGGTTCCGTAAACGAACGTTCTGCTCTTCTTCTGGTTCCTCAGGCCATGTTCCTCAGCTACGGACCAAAGTTCCAGAATGGAACGGAAATCGAACCCTTTTCCAACGTCGAGCTCTACAACCTGATGTGCGGTGAGGGTCTTTGTTTTTACCCTTCGATCTGGACACGCCTCCTTCCTGTCAGCTGACCCCGTCCTCACCGTCCCCCGCAGACCTGCTGCAGATCTCACCCTCGGACAACAACGGGACGCACGGCAGCATGAACCACGTCCTGAGGACGCCTTACTACACACCAGCGCCCCCTACAGAGCGGAGCGCTCCCGGTCAGTGTCAGCTGGTCAGTCTGGACCCTGAGGACGAACTGGGATGTGTGTGTGCTGTTCTGGTGAGTAACACACACACACACACACACGAGTAAGAACTACAACACAGGGGGTCAGGTCAAAGGTCATGAGTTAGAAAATATATTTAAATACTGCTGAAAAACTGTAGCTCAGCGCCCGCTCCGTTTTCCAATGCTGCAGTATTAGCAACGTTAGCAGAGTTAGCAGAGTTAGCAGAGTTGCAGTGAACATCATCACATTAGTAGCTATCACCTCCAGAAACATCTAGAAAGTGAATGATTTGTTACTGTTACCCACCACCACAGCCAGCAGGGGGCAGCAGTGTGTGGGGACGGTGCCACGCTCAGAGCACCTCAGTGGTAACTTGGCAGCTGGTGGACTCAGTAACAAAAGATGTAAATTCACAGAGATAAGAAACCAGATCATTGACTGTTTTGGTCGTTGTTTCTTCAGGTCGGAAATGAAATCAACCGGCGTCTGAATCTGACCGAGGAACAGAGTAAGGCTTTTCTGTCAAAATTAATAAAAATCATTTTCCATAAAAATCTAAAGGACCATCAGCGTTGTTGACTGCAGTGCTCTTGTGGTCCTGCAGAGAGCGCCACCGAGCAGAAGCACCTGTTGTTCGGTCGTCCTCGGCAGCTTCAGCCTGGACACAGTTACTGCCTCCTCCACCAGGAGGCGTTCGTCAGTGGCTACAGCAGTGAACACCTGGTGCCGGTGTGGAGCTCCTACACCATCAGCAGACCAGTGAGAACCTCCCCTGGTTATCTGACCTCTGACCTCTGGAGTTCTTGATCCTGGACTTCCTGCCACTAACGCCCCTCGTTCATTCCACAGTTGACCTCTGACCCACTGCCACCTGTGATTCCCGACTGTTTGAGGGCCGATGTCAGACTTCCAGCATCTGAGAGTCCCAGATGTGACCAGGCCGTCGGGAATCTAACCCCAGCCTTCCTCTATCCACCGAGTGTGTATCACACACACACACACACACACACACACACTGGTCCTTAGTCACCTGGTTCCTCCTCCACAGATGTCAGTGGTTACTGGTCGTACAGACAGGAAGTTCACCAGCAGGCGACTAATCTTTATCGGAGAGTTGCTAACGTTTAGGTTAGCTAGTAGATCACAGATGTACTGTTTGGCTACCAGGTTAGCTAATTAGCTAATTAGTGACCAAGGGGCATGCTGTGTACGGGGAAGTGCATCACTGCTATCATAGCTAACAGGTTAGCTAGTAGCTAGGTTACCACATTGACTAGTACCTAACTCACCAGGGTCGTGTGCTAAATGGTAACAGGAGCTAGACTGGAGGATAGCTGTTAGACATGTTAGCATGTTAGCTAGTTGGCAAGCTAAGCTAAGCTAAAAGACGGTTCTGCCCTAGAGACATACAGTATATGTCTGGACCAGGTTTTCATGTTAATGAGCTTATAGCTAACAGCTAACAGTTAGCATGCTGAGTGACATTTCCTCGTGTGGCTTCTTCAGACCTGAACTCATCAGCTGATCAGCAGTTTGACGCTCTCCTGATGAGTAACGTGGTACCGATGTTTCCTGCCTTCAAGAGTGAGTTTGACTCCATGACGTGAGCTAACAGAGCTAACAGAGCTAACAGAGCTAACAGAGCTGACCACACCTCCTCACCCCCTCCTCCTGGTTCCTCCTCAGAGATCTGGACCTACCTCCACAACAACCTGCTCCTCAAATACGCGTCTCTTTACAACGGCATCAACGTGGTTTCAGGCCCCGCCTTCGACTTCAACTACGACGGCCAATGGGACGAGTCGGAGCAGATCCAGGAGTGAGTCGGATCACCAGAACAGAACCGCACAGAACAGAACTGTGAAAATATATTGTTCTTGTTGTGTGTGTGTGTGTGTGTGTGCGTGCACAGGTCGGTGCCGGGAACCAACGTTTCAGTTCCGACTCATTTCTTCCTGGTTCTGAGCAGCTGTAGAAACTCCTCGGAGCCGGTCACGTCCTGCGGAGGAGAACTTCAGACGGTCTCCTTCCTGCTGCCTCACCGAGCTGAGAACTCAGAGAGCTGCAGGGTAGGAGCTCCTTCACTGCGTCTCCTCCTCATCTCCTCCTGGTGGAGGGAGTGAGCAGAGTCCAGGGAACGTTCTCACGTTAACCTTATGATTTTCAACAGAATTCTGAGGACGAGTCTACGTGGGTTGAGGACCTGGTCTGGTTCCATCAGTCCAGAGTCCGGGACGTGGAGTGGATCACGGGACTGGACTTTTTCCAGGACAGCGGCCGACCAATCGCAGAGCTGCTGAGGCTGAAGACCCGCCCCACAGCTGCTATTCACAGAAAAGCGTGAAACATTTGAGACGTTTCTGGAGCTGACGTCGACTCACAGCTAATTTATTATTTACCTACTGATTTTCTGATCCTAACAAACATTTGTAAAAATCAAAAATAATATTTTAAACTTTGTTGTTTTCTGTGTGTCATCAACGATATCTGTGACTGATCAGACGCGAATATATTTATGATTCACCAGCGGTGACTGTCGTCTTTGTTTCGTCGGTCGATACCGATGTTCATCCGCTGCATCACTGACTGTAACCCTGAAGAAATGAAGCCCACAGCGCCCCCACTGTTCTAACGGTTTCCTAACTAACGTATTTCCTGGTGTTGAGTTTTGATCATATGTTCTGTCATCTCTGACGGAAGTAAAAAAGAAAAAACAATGTGAGGGGAGATAAAAATTCTGAATTCTCAAGTAACTAAATCTGCCCAGTAGTTTTTTTGTTTGTTTGTTTGTTTTTTCAAACTTAAATTACAAAATAAAAATAAAATAAAACGGGGTTAAAAACAGACATTTTATTATTATTATTATTATTAATTAATGGATTTCTGTCTGTGGAGATCGCGTCTCCTTCTTTCGTCAGGTTGTCAAATACAAGAAGAGGAAAAACAAGAGAAATACTTCCGGGAAACTCTGTGACGTCAGATGCCGCCACAACCGCGTCTTTAAAAAGGCAATTACGTTCAGACGACCTCAGGTGTTCCAAAATGGCGGGTGCACCTCGTCCGGCTTCGACATCGCGGTGGAAAGGTTAGCGGTTTTTAAAGTGATTTCGCTCCTGTTTGTTCAGTTTCATTGACTTCGTCTTAACGGTACGGCCTGACTTGACGGTAAATATCGAACGGCGGCTGTCGCTGGTTTATGTGTAGCTTAGCCTGTGGTTTGATACAAGTTTGAGTTGAGGGTCTGACTGCTGACGTCAGGCTAACGGCAGCACTGACCTGGTTGGTGATTAGTACTAGTCGACTTTTAACGGTGAACTATATTGACTAGTTACGAATGAAAACTCCAACCATGAACTCTGGAGCCGCTGCTGGTTCTCAGGAACGGAGGAAAGCGACAGGTTCGGTGCTAGCCTCGAGACGATAACAAGTTTTACTGGACGATATATCGTCTTACAAATTATTCCTGATAAACAATATTATTGTCGTCATTATTTTGAGACCGAATTAACTACAGATGTAATGACGATATATGGTAATAATTCAAATACATCGTTTCAGATGCAGGAAACCTTTATTTCTAATGAGAATATCAAATGTCCGACGGTACTTGAACGCCTCTCATATAGGACACGCCGAGTGGGCTCCTCTTTAAAACAGTTTTAAAAAAGTTTCCCGCGGTTGGTTTTGTGTTGATTCTGTCGAACAAACGACTCGGTGTTGACTGTCGGTGNAAATATGTCGAGGCTGGAAAATTATCGACTTCATTTTTATTTATTGTGCGATCAATTAATTTCTTATCATCCCAGCGCCCCCTACTGTCAGCCTGTAGGTGTTACATGTCGTCGTGTTGCCTTCGTGTGGTTGGTTCATATAATGGAACAGGTTTTTCTCACTGTGTTCAAACGCAGACTTTGACTGAAGTTCTGGTGAATCCAGTTGGATCTGGTCCTGCCTCCCAAAGACCCCCCTCATCGAAACTGAAGTGAGCGACGACTCCTGCCACCTTGTGGGTGATAGCTGCTATGACACCTACTTGTGCTCTTGGATGGAATCTTTGGTTTTTTTTGTCCTTGTCTTTCAGGCTGATCGTCATGAAGATCTTCAACACAGTAGGAACGTCTTTTTTATATTTTTTTCAAAGGTGGCCCCCGCGTCACCTTTGCTAAGTCTGGCCGTTGCGTGAGCTTCGCTAAGTTTGGCCGCTGTGCCAAACTTGCTGGAGCCGCTGTGCGTTTCTCCCGTTTGTCTTTCTAGCGACGTCCGTGTGGCCAAGCGTCCCTTCCTGTTTCTCTTCCCTTTAGTCTGTGGTGTGGAGTGGGAGCCAATGACAGGACAGTTCATCAGGGAGAGTTTCTACACGTAGGTTGTGATTGGCTCTCTTGGGTTTCCAGTGTTTTTGGCCCTGATTGGTTGTTTCTCCAGGATTCTGGTCCAGTAGATCAGGTTTTAAATCACGGTACTGCTGAGCGGCTAATGCTAACAGGTCACAGCTGGTACTGCAGGGTGTGGATGAGGAGAGAGAAGATGGTCTGAGGTCAGCCTCATTAACCCCTCGTTGTCCACACTCCTCCTCAGCTGCTGTTATTTTCATGACTCTGTTTTTTTGATTAACTCTTTACATCAACGCCCCCCCGACTCCATCACCTCCGCCCCCCAATCACCTCCATCCCCATCCTCTCTGCCCCCTCCTCTCTGCCCCATCCTCTCCAGTGAAGTCGGTCTAGTGTTGGTTTGCTGCTGGTTGGTTGACGTACTAACTCTTCCTTCCTAGGTCCAGTCAACATCGGTGAGTCCATATTTTTGTTGTCTTCTCTCCGGACGGCTGCCGTGTCGGCGTCCGTTTCTGTCTCTTTGGTCAGGGTTCAGGGGTCAGGGACAGCGAGGAACATGAAGTCCAACAGTTCTAGGTCAGTTCTGGGCCACCGGGCCTCCTGTTCTCTCTCAGCCTCTCCGTGCTGAACCTTCGCCCCTGTCATGGCCGCCGCGCTGTTCTGCCTTTATTCTCTCAAACGTAAGTGTTGCGTTAAAATGAGGCGTAGCGTAGACGGGTGAGTTCGATCGTCCAAGTGGACGAACCGATCATCTTCGTTGGATTCTCACTCACTAAAAACACGTCAGCGTCAGGGACTTGGTAGAAGAGTGAGATCCAAACCTGATCCTGAACTGGTTCTGGTGAAGAACGTGTCGTAGATGATGTGAAGTGGACCAGATGTTTCATCAGGGCCTAGTGGCCGGAGTAGGAACCTTTAAAAAGGTTCTATTGGAGTTGGTCTTGGTGACCAGACCAGAGTGTGGACGCTCCTCAACCGGAGGTTCATGTAGGAAACTAGGGTCAGATACTGAAGCTGCCTTGTCTTGACCGCCGAGTCACGAGGCCCAGGTCTGTCACTGTGGTCGCTGAGCCGTGTCTTGTCTGTTCCTTTTGTCAAGGCCACAGCGCGTCATTTGGGGCCCATATTTGCTCTGCAACCCGCGTCTTTTACAGCCCATTTCCCGTCTGCAACCCGTGTCGTTTACGGCCCATTTCCCATCGGCAACCCGCGTCATTTACAGCCAATTTCCCGTCTGCAACCCGCGTCATTTACAGCCAATTTCCCGTCTGCAACCCGCGTTGTTTGGGTCCATTTTTCGCCTGCCACCCGCGTGATTTACAGCCCATTTCCCGTCTGCACCCCGCGTCATTTGGGGCCAATTTTTGGCCTGCAACCCACGTCGTTTGGGCCCATTTTTGGTCTGCAACCCGCGTTGTTTGGGCCCATTTTTGGTCTGCAACCCGCGTTGTTTGGGCCCATTTTTGGTCTGCAACCCGCGTCTTTTACAGCCCATTTCCCGTCTGCACCCCGCGTCGTTTACGGCCCGTTTCCCCTCTGCAACCCGCGTCTTTTACAGCCCATTTCCCGTCTACAACCCGCGTCGTTTACGGCCCATTTTTCGGCCTCTAACCCACGTCCATAGGCAGTGTAGGGAGGTTAGGGTTACATAAAACACACGCCCCCCAGAGTGTGTCCCCTCTAACTGCATGTCTGTCCGTGGTGGTGGTGTGTCCTGGTTATTGTTTTAACTCTTCGTCTGTTCTTCCTCATTAACCCCTCGTTGTCCACACTCCTCCTCAGCTGCTGTTATTTTTATGACTCTGTTTTTTTGATTAACTCTTTACATCAACGCCCCCCCGACTCCATCACCTCCGCCCCCCAATCACCTCCATCCCCATCATCTCTGCCCCATCATCTCTGCCCCATCATCTCTGCCCCCTC